AGAACCGCCGGTTTCCGGCCTGTTCTAGCGGGTTCCCACCCGGTTCGGGAATCGTACTTACCGTGTCGGTTCTTCTCACCCGGTTTGGGAATCGTACTTACCATGCGGGTTCTGGCACAAAATTGGGAACCGCCCGGTTCTAGAGCAGAACCGTCGGTTCTAACGTGGTTCCCACCCGGTTTTAGCCGGTTCCCTCCCAGTTCTAGCCTTCACACTTGTGTATGTGTCACACGTGCCACACATGTACTCCCACACGTGCACCGGTTCAGGCCTCACATGAGTGACACGTGGCCATCGCACGAGAGTAACACGTGGCCACACGTGGCAACTCATCTCACGTTTGCCTCCATCACATTTCTACACACGCAACAAAAAATCTAGTTCACATGACTTTATAAAGAACCAAGCAACACTCATCCTTCAATGTAGGATAATTATCACAAAAAGTCATTAAAGCAATATCATTGAATATATATTATTATGGAAGCTAAAAAATTCACATGTGATGACATGGTCATGTTGTTTAACAACATCGAATTTTGGGTGTATGTCTTGAGTTCGAACCCTATAGTAAACACCAAAAAATATTTTGAGTTCGAATCCCTTAGCGCACAACAAATTTTTTTTTTTTTGAGTTCGAACCCCTTAGCCCCATAGTGAACACCAAAAAATATTTTGAGTTCGAATCCCTTAGCGCACAACAATTTTTTTTTTTTTTTGAGTTCTAACCCCTTAGTGCACGACAATTTTTTTTTCTTTTTTGAGTTTGAACCCCTTAGCGCACAACCAAAAAATACAAAAAAATTTTGTTGTAAAAAAAATAAACAAAGGTAGAAAATACTGTTGTAAAAAAATAAAAAAAATATAAAATAAAAGGCTTTTCAAGATAAAGATAAAAAAGATAATACAACATTTTTTTTATTTTTCTTGTAAAAAAAATACAAGGTAATATAACAAGTATTTATTGCAAATAAAATAAAACGGAAGGCATAAAAAAATAAAATGTACTTTGACAGCAGCATTTTTTTATTTTTCTTGTAAAAAAAAATAAAAAGTAATACAACAAGCAAAAAAAAATGTAGTACAACATCTTCTTCTTTTGTCAAAAAAAAAAAAACAAAGATAATCAACAAGTATCATATTTTTCTTGTAAAAAAAAATAAAAGATAACACAATAAGTATTTCTTGTTAAAAAAATAAAAGGTATTTTCTTCATACAACCTAAAAATAAATGGTCTAATTATAATTTTTATTTTTATAACAAGATGGTCTTTAACATAAATTTAGTAATATTAATTTAAAGATAGGATTCATACAATGAGGCCATTTGAAATCTCTCTTTCTACTAACAATCTCTGCCACTAATTTATTCTAGAAACCTAAAAAATTAAAGAAAATTGGTACGCATTCTAATAATTTCTACATTGATAAAAAAATCTTTTATTTTATTTATTAATTTTTGTATTATAAATCATGTAATGTACTATTTTTCTTACAGTTGTCAATAATACATTTTAAATTGGATGATATTATAAAATATTTTGGATTTGTTATTATTTATATAATAAAATAATTATAAAATATTGTTGGTATATAATATTATAGCTAGTTAGGTTGTAATAATTTTGGTTATTTTAGCGGATTAGGGTTTTTCGCCAATTCGAGATTTTAGTGGCCAAATTTTCATCGATTTAGTCAACTCTTTATTGTAGTCCATATATGATTATATAATTAATCCATGATAATTCTATGATTTCTTTTGTGTGATGTAAATTTAATGGTCAACGTAAATTCATACAAGGAAAGATCATCTCAATATTCACAAATTGATGAAAAAATGAAAGTTAATAATGTAGTACCATCATTTCTTATTGGATTTCTAAAAAACAACATTTTATAATGAATTTTAATAATTTTTTTGGATTTTTTTGAAGCTTTAATCCGATCGATGCAGTCGATTCCCGATCTGAATCGCCAATTCGCCGATCCGGATCGGTTTTTGAGGTGCCCGATCCGGGTCACCAATCCGCTTTTTAAACCATTGGTTTGGATTGATGAGACTAGAGATGGTGTTAATGCAAAGTTAGAACTTTGAAGGGATGCTCTACAACATGTGGTTTCAAAATTAGTTGGACTAACATAATACATGGAATATAAGTTTAGTATTAATAAGAATATAAACGAAAAATTAGCTGCAATTGATGGCAAAAAAAGTACCTAAAATAAATTGTTTTTTATATCTAGAGTTGATAATCTATGAGAATAAAGAGATTGAGGAAGGTGTCGCGTATAGAATTAAAGCTATGTGAATGAAGTGGAGGTGTGCTTCCAGAGTCTTGTGTGTCGCATACCAATTAAACTGAAGTGGAAGTTCTATTGTACGATTGTAAGACCAGCCATCTATATAAGACGAAATGTTGAGTATTCAATAAACAATAAATCTATAAAATAAGTCTTGTTGAGATGTGAATGTTAAGATGGATGAGTAACAAGATAAGAAATAATAAAATTTAGAATGAACATATTTGAGTGAACTTCGCGATGGCTCCAATAGGCGATAAGATGAGAAAAGTAAACTTTTAGGTGGTCTGGCCATCTGTATTGTTGTTTTAGATTAGGTAATTTGGTTCAAGTGGAAGGCTCTAAAAGCGTAAGGAGAAGACCCATAATAACATGGATAGAAGCAACGAGAAGAGATATATTGATTTAGGGTCTGTCTAAAGATATGGCCATTTGTTTGATCCAAATTTTGAAATATACACTCTTTTCATCCTAATGAACAATCACAAAAAAGGAAAAAATTGAAAACACAACCTAGAAAGTATTTTTTTAGCCCAATTAACATAGGCCGTTCATTTTAGTGAGATGCTTAGATCTAGGCCTTAGAAAGATTTTTTCATTTCCAATTTTTTTGGATGGCTTTATTATCATTAGAAGAACAATGTTAAAAAAGAAAAAAATAATTTTAAATTTATAAAGGTTAAAATCTTGAAATTCACAAAATGAATGACCTAGATTCGTTTTTGGAGATGACTCATTTTGACCATAGGGTTCAAATTGAATCTTTTTATTTTTTGGAGATTGATTATTGAGTGTGTGTGCAAAATTTGGAGTCATACAAATACCACAAACATTGTTTTCTAGAAGTGTTGTTGTATTATCCTAAG